ATTCAGTAAATAAAATAAGTAGGTAAGCCGGCAAGCCTGTTTCGTAAGCGATAGCAACTCAATTAAAGTTAAATCTTCATTTATTCAATTCAGGCTTTTAAACCACGTATGTGAAAGTCGAAAGCTACGACATCATTTCGCAAATCTACGGCGGGATACCTTGTACTGAGAAGAACCGACAAGTAACTCAGCAATGGCTGCTTTTTTCTTCCTGTTTCATTTCATACAGTGTCGTCAAATTGACAACTTGCGACCGCAAAGCGACTGAGTTTCTGATACAGTTTTTTATATAGAAACGACATTAAATTACAATTTTACCGAGGTTCAGAACAGTACCATATGGTACCTTATGGTACTGTTCCTTAAGGACAGTAATCTGTCCTTTGGCATCATAGGTATGCAGGATTTTTTTTGCTGGAGCGTCTAATTATTATCAAGCAATATTGTAGTCACCGTTCGCATTTCAGATACAGATAAATAGATCTATGGGGTTGGTTACAAATCGTGAGCATTGGACATGATTTGACCAAATTAGCAGTGAGCACGAGTGGTGGATAATTTCTTCATATATATGTGATTTCTTATTATTGGTATTAAAATATAAATGTTAATTACATACACGCCCTTTGCCCGCGACCTCGCCTGTCGTTTTCAGGGAATTAACTTCTCCGCAACTTATTCTATATTACCTCACCATAATAATAGATAAAATCGAAGTCATTGTCAAAAAAACTTTATTAATGTGATGTACTAAAAAGCTATTCAGTCTTGTTCTGGATTTTTGTTCTTAGTAAGGTTTTAGGTATAACGTGCTGCTACATAAAATCAATACGCGTTGTTATTGAATCAATTAATTCAATATGAAATGAATCATCTGATATAAAGTAACCAATCAGCTTGCCATATAAGAAATGCATAAAAACTTCTTTGTAAAAAAACGATTCCTAAGTAGCAATCAAACCAGGAGCTCGTCAAATAGACACCTGGCGAGCGATGTCAACTCTACGCATAATAATATTTAATGCTCTTAGACACTTCAGATAACATGCTTAGATAATCATGGAAATTTTCTCAAAAATTGTTTATTTAGTTTTATACGCAAGCTGTGCAAAATGGCAATGCTCCGCTAAAATGTATCTTGGACATTCCCCGCACAGGAAGCGGTTATGAAACACATTCTCAAAGTAAGTAAAGGTAATTAGGAATGCTATTTTTGTAAGATTAAAAGCTAAGTCAATAAAATATAAATATTTAAAACATGAATGGTAATACTTTGTTAATAAAGTCTCAAAACCAAATGTTAAAAATAATACCATTACGCGAAGTTAGGTCATTAATAAATTATGATTAGCTATGTGTTTTGAGTTTTCTTCTTTTCTTCGTTGTTTTTTTGTCAAAGCTCTAAGGAGTTCGAAATCGAGGTGAGGATAAATTTAAAACTGTTCCAAAAAGTTTAAAAAAAAATACATTTTATATTGAACTTGTAGTAACTTCGTAGTACTACAATTTGATGTCTTTGTTGGTATTGTGTTGTTTTGAAGTTGAGAATGTTACGTAAACATTGAGAAGGTCACTTACCGGATGGGTGCTCAAAATGTGTTCATCCTGCGTGCGTAAAGCCATTGGTTCCGGCTCGTGTCCCAGTGAGGACATTAATAGTGTGATGATGATTGGAATAAATATTTAAATGTTAATTTCTATCAAGCAAGTAATAAAACATTCGAATAAACAAAGAGGGAGCTTAGTTAAAAAAAAAGTAATGTTTATAAAAATGCCAAAGTATTGTTTATTTTTTTCCTAGCTCACAATAAGAGCAGTTTTAATTGTTCTGATTATGAGAACTTTCGTATTAATTACCCCCTAAATGAGCGACGCACTTCGCCGTCATTCATTCTTTTAAACTTTCAATGGGGTGAAGTGTTTTAAAGTGTCTTTGTTTTTCGGTCATAAATCTAAATGGTGTGCGTAATTACAACGTTTAATGTATGACAGTTGCATTGTGCGTATGCAAATGTTAGCGTGGTGGGAACGGGCGGACCGGGACAATATTGTGACGCGGCGGGAAGCCACTCCGGGATGCGAGAGGGCGCTGTTATTAGTTTCGGGTTTAAGCACTTTGATATTAATTTAGGATTTAATCAGTGCTAGCTTGATGACTCTATTGAGAAAATTCGTGTGGGAGTTTTGTTGGTTTTTATTTAGATGCCTCACCAGAAAACACATCGTTGAAGTCTTTGCTGGTGACACTATGAAAATGACATTTTGCTTTCTAGGTACTTTGTAATATAGGTGTATATTGGGCGGATGGTTCTATTAATTTGAGCAATTAACTCGTACACCTTCTTTTATAGGTATATAACAATACTGAATTTAATACCTACTTATAATATATTTTGTTTTGTGTTAAATGTTAATAATCCATTTGTGGAAATCTTTTATCTAAATATCATACCTGAAAAATACTTCTGAAGCTTGGTGAAACAAACTAATAATTATTGCATAATATGGTTAATAGCGCAATATCAAATTAGAACATTTATCTCCTTAATCTTACTTATTTAAACTATCACTTATTATACTTAGTTACTGCAGCGTAGTCCGAAAGTGGGTTATACGTTGAGCTTCTCGTAGCATACAATACGTAGTTCTTGATCATCTAATCGGAAAACCAGTTCAAAGTGCCCGTGCGAGTAAACGATATTATTTGAGGGGAGCAAAACTAAGGTCCTATAGTTCCGCGAAACCTCTTTAGAAACAAATAAGCTCGTTGTGTAGTCGCATTCGAAAGATTGTGGCATTGTTTCGCACAAAGATTCGAGTGGCCACTCAAATGTGAGAAACTGTTGCGATTGTACAGGTATTGCAAATGTGGGAATGTGGGCTCTTGTACATTGATAGGGTTGGTTTTCTAGTATTTGTTAATATGTCATTAAAGAATTGGTTGGTTTGTACAATATTTTCGTTATTCCCATTCAAAATATCTTATTCGCGGGATAATTTGTAGCTGGTATATTCTAAAAATTTCTTTACCTTAGTATAATTCAAATATAATAATAGAAAAGTATATAAGTTTTGTTTTTTGTATAAGTACTTAGGTTATACCTGATTGAAACCGAATAGAAATAGTACACATTTTTATTTAATTAATTATTGTCGACACCGATATTTTAACATTTTGTTAAATAAGGAATAAAAATTGACTTACTGATTTTTCACGCGCTAATGGTTTTCATGAGCTATTCTTTAATGGAGTCGATAACATCTTCCAAATAAGTTTAGTAGTTGCCAATCATGGAATGCTGCTTAAATCTGAATTCAATAACAAAGTATTAAAATAACTTTTGAGCAGTCAATTAGGCGGCAACATATCGTCCATCGTGATAACACTATGGTGGTCCATTGTGGGGCGGCGCCCCGTGGCTTGCCGCGCCGCCACTCGCCGCACCAAATAATACTATTTCCTATTTTTATAACTGTTGCCTTACTGACGCTCCAATGACCATTCAAGAGCGGCGATTTTGTGGGAAGCTGACAGCTCTCGACGATTGACTCCAAAGCATCGCGCAACGATCAGCATGCCACCTTTCCCTCATAAATTACCTCCCAACCCTTAAACTTTACGATTCCAACGAATAACTAAAAAAGTCTTTAAGCACCAGCGTTGTAAATCATAACAACGGTAGTCCTTATCGATGAGATAACATCAAAAGCCATGGATGGCGACAAAAAAATTATGGCGAATTCATAAAGTCCCGCAGAGAGGTCGCGGCCGATTGTCGATTCACACCGTCGTCAAAGAGTTGGTTCGTTCTCGCCTAGAGATCGAGGCGCAGATAAGTTTCTCACCTCCCCGCGGTCGCCGACTCGCGAAAGGGTTCGCCGAATAATTGCAACAATTGATTTAAAGGAGCCATCGAACAATTTGTATGGTATTTGTGCGGGCTGTCAAACTGTGATGCTATCGACGCACCTCGGGGTGCCCGCTCCGCACTGGGAACTCAACGCAAGGGTTGTTTTCCCACACCTCAAGACTCACTTGCGTAATTGAAGTAACAAGTGATTTTTTAACAGGTAGAGTTGGGATTATTGCTATGTCAACATATATAGGAGCAGTGTAGTAGAAATACGTAGGTACCTGTAAATCCTCAATTTTGTTAATTTGGAACTAGACATAGTTTTTATGTAAGTAAACGATAGGATATCATAATAATATAATATCTAATGTATATCATTTGTAAAATAAAGGAGGAACCACAAACAGCACTTTCGTTTTTCCTCTAGTTATTTAGTATGTCGTATGAGTGCTCCATATACTCGTACGTACGTTGCAGGCAAGCAGATTATTATTAAATCCAAAACTTTTTTCGCCAGATATTTAAAAAAGTATAGTGTCATAACTTATTAACTTTCAGTGGCTCACCCACAACGCTGAAACATAACTTATATCCATAATAAGACATAAACATCAATACAACTCGTTGCAATATGTCACTGTAACAAAGCTCTGCGGTAACGGTCCACATCATTTGTCTGCCGGCCCCGTAATTTATGATCTCCTCCCGAAGAACGAGGACAAAAACGGAGCTGTTGTTAAATATTTGCCTTGAGACAAGAGGGAGCGATAATTCGAGGCTATTATGACGTCATTTCACGCCCTTTGTGAGGTCGTCACGCCGTGTCATCTGCTCCTCGAGACGCCTGCCTATTCTATCTCCCGATAATATCTATTGTGTCATTTTTTCAGTGTGCGAGGATGCGCCACCGACGATGATTTTGTCCCGTTCGCTTGTTCGCTCAACTCCGCTATAAAAACACTCGAGAAACTGCCCTATTGTCTCGTGGCCCTTTTACGAGATCTGTTTTGTGGAGCTGTTATTGTTTGCGGTCGATAAACATCTCGCCACTACGTAGGTAGGGATCATCATCACTTTACCAGTGGATCCTTTTAATAGACCCATCGAGTCCGTTTGGTAATTACAGCTTTTGAAAATTGATTTAGCATGGATTTGTTAAATAATGATTTTTCGGGTCTAAGGAGAGACTTGCAGATGAATACGGTAGCTCTGTTCAGACAGGATCCGAAGTTGGTGGAGGCTGTTGATAAACTTTTCTTCCATAACTCTGTCAGAAGTGTAGATACTAAGCAGAGTGGTCAAATATTACCCGACAGAAAACTCACCTTTGACGAAGTTCAACAAATTTTACGAAAAGGTATTTTTATAGTGCAGTATTTTCAAGTGCTCTCATTTGACTAGGTATAATAAGATCTTTTTGTTACTCTTATTTTAATTTAGTTCCAGATAAACATTCAGAATTTAAAAATGTGTGTGATGAACGTAGGAAAGTTATTATCAAAAAAGTTGAAGATATATTAGCTGACATAAATAAAACTGCAGAAAATGGTGACAATCCTAAGTTGATAATCAGAAATCAGCGATTATGGAGTAATTGTATCTACGATCTAGAAAGGTAAACATTTTGTTTTAAATGGAAAGAAATAGTATAATTTGCAATGTATTCAACTGTGTATCCATATATCTATGATGAGGCCGGGGCGAGATGTAGTAAATGAGTTTTTTGTTTTTTTTTGTATTTACAACTTAATATACGAATAATTTTCGTAATTCATCTTTTGCATATAATTCCAGAGTTACTTTGAAATCATTCAAAGATGCAAAGAAAACGACTGTTTGTTATTCGAGTAAAGAAGATAAAACAAGATTTAATATTATAGTTTTTGTCCTAACCAAAGTTCACGAGTTGTTGTCAAAAAAATTGATAATCACTAGACGGTACGTAAATATTAATTAGGTATACTGTTAGCATTTTATGATGTTGCTTTAATATTTGTTTCTTAGGTTTTCACGCACATCACTCATTAAATAAAACTAGTTTTTACGGGTTAATGCACGAAACTTTATTTATTTATTGACGTTTCGCAGCCTTTTCAGATCTGCATCGTCAGAATAATGATTTTTTATTTAAAATTGTCGAGCTACCTTCGAAAGACTTATATTGAGCGTTCGGTTATTTCATTGGAAGATTTTTAAAATTTTATTGTCTATGTATGAATTTATTATTTAATTTACTTAATAAAGTATTTTATATAAAATTCTTGTTTGTAATTTTGAGTTTATTTATTTGACCCTAACTACCGTAAACTACCACCGGTTCCAAAATTGGGAGACCTTCCTGAGAAGAACCGGCGAAACAAACTCAAGAGAGGCTTTCTATCTCCTTCTTATGTTAAATTATGCAAACAAAAAGAACTAATAGTATCTGATGGTCTTGCAGCGTGTGCTCGGGGTTGGGATTTTATCTCCTGTATAATAGGTTCCCAAGCTGGTGGTATATACCAACCATCTTCCCTATTGAAATTTGGATATTTTTTAATCTCAATAGCCTCGCGCATCATTCGAGGAACGACGCACGCAGCTGAGCGGCGGTTTGTTCCTCGAATAAAATTTTAAAAATCTTCCAATGAAATAACCGAACGCTCAATATAAGTCTTTCGAAGGTAGCTCGACAATTTTAAATAAAAAATCATTATTCTGACGATGCAGACCTGAAAAGGCTGCGAAACGTCAATAAATAAATAAAGTTTCGTGCATTAACCCGTAAAAACTAGTTTTATTTAATGTTGCTTTAAGTTTGTCTACAACATCTTATCATACGTTCGTCATACGTTCTTTAACATCTACTGTTTTAGTTATTTTTTTTATATTTTAAGCATTTAACTGCTAGATGTTTAAATCTAAAGAAAAGTTTCGTAGAAAAAAATTCATGCGGACCAAGCAGCACACGGGACCTGTATCTACTGTTTTTTGAATACTACCTATGTGATAAAGTTTGATCTTTACCAAACTTAAGACTTTGTCATTTACAAGTTTTCTAAAGAGCGTAAAGTTCATAGAGTTCATGTTTATATGTATGTGCATTTTTCAGAGAAATGTTTTACCAAAATGTAACCAGGGTCCGTAATCAAGCTAATTTGGACGTAGCAGTCCGGGATGTTTGCTGCTTACTTGAGAGCCCCCCATGGAATTTAGGAATTGTGGCCACAGCTAAAGGCTTGATAGCCGGTCCTTTATCCATGCATTATGGCAATGGGACTAACATAGATTGTTCTAAACCAGGCGGCAAGTGTTACATCCTTTTATTAATTTCAGTTTTGAATATATAGTAATTTTAAGAATGATAAAATTGTTGTGTATGGAATAACATTAATTATTTTTGTGTTTTTAGGGGTACTTATACCACAAGATATAGAAGGGATCAAAGAATTTAAGTCTTCTGCCAAATATATATTGGTTGTAGAAAAAGATGCAATCTTTCAAAAACTTCTAGATGAAGGTGTTTTAATTAGGCTGGGACCTGTTATTATAATAACAGTAAGTATTGATATAAATCTCCTATAACTAGAACATGAGAAAATGATACTACCATCATGAAGATAGTTTGGTTAGTTAGAAAAACGGCTTCATGTGTTTTGTCTCAAGAATATTACATCGCGGACCAGGCAGCAGACGGGACTAAAACCCGCACCCTTCTCAATCCGCGCGAATGCACTGACCAATTATGCTACCGCGGCACTCACGGGCGAAGGGCGGGGTCGAGTCCCGTCTGCTGCCTGGTCCGCGTGGATTTTTTTCTAGTTATATTTTCTTTAGATTTAAACGTCAAGCAGTTACATGCTTTAAAATAATAAAAATTATAATATTACATCAAATAAGTACTGAAGTCAATAAACAAGTTTTTGATTCGACCTGGCACTTCTGAAGCTCAGTATCTTCAGCATAGGTACTTTTTCAGAAGATGCCAAAGAAAATGCAGACCTAAACCGCATTTTTACAAAACGTCGACTAAAGTTCAACCAGGTTTAAAATTGATGCTGTGACTTTATGATACCTGCTTCGGTTTGGTAATGCAATTTTTTAACGGTTATCAATTGCACATCATAAATATCTATCATATTCGGTCTAGTTATCACGTTAACATCCTGAAGGCATAATATGACCACATTGATGTTGTGGAAATACAGCGCTGCGAGCTTTCTGATCTAAAAGGGTTCAAACTTTTTCACATTTATTTAGTGCTTTCAAAGGCAGACGAGCGGAAGCCACCTGATAGTAACTGGTCACTGTCGCCCATGGACATCAGCAATCCAGTGTCAGCCTCTCTTGAAGAGGACCATGTTATAGTACCGAGGAAACTCCATGGTATTCCCTGGAGCTCATTCCATAATTTTATTGATCGCGGAATAAAAGTTCTGGAAAGAGTTCATTTACAACTCTTTGTTTTTTTACTTTTTCCTATTTTATCTGGTCTAGGGTAAAGGGTATCCTGACGTGTGTACCCGTCGCCTGTTGTGCCGCTTGTGCTCCGAGTTAGGATTACGGGCGCTGGCGCTAGTCGACGCTGATCCTCATGGCTATGAGATATTCCTCACATACAAGTATGGATCTTTGGTAAGTATAGATAGTACACTCATAGGGAATCGTAGGCAGGTCTATATTAATTCATTAATAAGAAATTCCAGCCGAGGACGCACTTGCCTGAGGTTATGAGCGCCATGCTAGTGAACGGGTGCTTTCAGCGGAGATGAGTCTGCTCTATACATACTACTTTACTATGGAAATATTATCTAGTTATACCTAATATATAAAAAAAAAACACTAAGTTATTTGTATTTAAACTGTATGACACAGCAATCAAAATGGTAGTTGACGATATTGAAGTTAAATTAGTGTATCTTATTAATTGATTTTGTAAAGTCAATACATATACTGTAACAATGTAATATTATAAAATTTATAAATTAAAATACAGTATTTTGAGCCTGTTTTCGCAAAACAGCTAAAAAATGACCATAATTGGTAGTAGGCAAAAAAAAATGGTCGTTTCAAAAGAGTTGCTTCCAATTTGAATAAAGAAATTTTTACTTTGACTTTATTAATATTCTTCGCACTTGAATGTACAAAATTATATATTGGACCCCTGACCTGAAAAAAAAACGCTCAAGTAAAAAATTGTTGCATTTTATTTATAAACCTTACCTGTACAGGCACAATCGCATCTCTCGGCATCTCTGGCTTGCACTAATTTGTTGCTACTAGGTGCTAGACACCAAGACGTTATGACCCTGGCACCAAACGAAGCGAGGTTGAAGTTAACAGATCTGGACAAAAGAAAGCTAACTTCGTTGATGAGGAGACCATATTTAGTGACAGTTGTAGGTAAGTACAAGAATTCTAGGGGATTTCAATGCCAAACTGATGTCTACGAAAGACGTTATACATAGGTACCATTAAAAAAAAACAGTCGGGTTACCAAAGTATCATGCACTCGCTCGTTGCCTTAATTTCAACTATTTACCTCCTCCGTGGCCGAGTGATTTGTACGCCGGGTTTCAAGTTGTCGTCTACTCGAGAGGTTCCGGATTCGAACCCCGGATCAGATGTTTGTGTGATGAATACGAGCATTTGTACTCCAGTCATGGATGTTTTATATGTATTTTTAAATAAATACACTTATCAGTATCAGTATATGTACTCTATCCCGAGCATGCCATAACACAAGCCCACAGTGCTTACTTTGGGGCAAGGCTAATTGGTGAGTGTTGGAAATATTTAAGAAGTTACCTTTTGAAAGCAATATTTTTGAGCTAGGCTCTAATTGTATAGATAGGTACTTGCATTTTTTCATAGTTGGTAAGTAGATTAATGTCAAATTGTAATTTTCCTTCTGGTACAAATAAAAACACTTAGGAATTGTAATCTTTCTTTTAATTTAATACCTACAGGTAGCCGCATAAAGCAAGAGCTTCTTACAATGCTAGAAAATGGCATAAAAGCTGAAATAGAAGCTGTGTCTCCAACTGCAGCCGCAATGTGTGATGCTTACTTACCCTCAAAATTGATACAAGCAGACTATTTGGGATAGAAGAGATACCTATTTTCTTATAAAAATAAAACTACATTACAACAACATATTTTTAATTACGCTTACCTATTTTAAGAGTAGCCTCTTTTTACAACTCACATGCCATCTAGCGAATTAAGAATTATATTACAGCAAGTACGTGGGGTTGCTTTCGCAGCGTGCGGATATAAAGCAACCCTCCAAAGCACCCGTTTATTCAGTGTTTTGTAGTGTTTACTCCAGGTGGCGTTAGTGGTATAATGTCCAGGGCTTTTGTCTAAGAGGTCTGTTTTTGTTTGATCTTCATTCCCAGGGCGGACTATGGTCAGATAATTTATACATAAGGCTGCGTTCACACAAAAGTGAAGCTGACCAGTCTTAAAAAATGACTAATAACATTGCACAAAATACACCGCCATCTCCGCTCCTCTTCAATGGAAACAGTAATATTAGCGGACTTGAGGAGAATAACATTAAAATGTAGGACTTATATGAGTTTAGCTGGGCAGATAGTCATGCTAGGCGGAGCAGAGACGAACGACGAACGGGAATTGGCGAAGTGGAGCAGAGTTAGGTAATTATTTAGCGACCACATTGTTTTGTTCAATTGTTTAATTAACCGCTCATCTTAACTTTACTCGGCTCCACTCCACTATGCTCATCTCCACTTCACACAGCTCCGCTCCGCTCAACTTTAGCCAGCTACCATAGTACTACTTTCAATTGAAACACTTGCCTATTTACACGGCTCCGTTCACCTTCAATCCGCACACCTCTATTTCTGTTGAAATACACCTTTGTATCTACGATTTAGACATTACTGATAGACAATGGTTGCTTTCCAATTACAGCATTATAGTGCATTATGCGGCATAATGCTTAACGTTGAGTGTTCCAACTACAGCAACGCTTCGCACAATTGAGCACTATCAAAAGTGATGCTTTCGTGTGATGCGTGCAATCGTACCAACTTAGAGACAGGAAATTAACAAGTGTTTTTCCTTTAAGTTGGCATTGATCGAAATGTTTTATAAATTATATGTTATCGTTAGTAATATTATTTATTGTTGAAAAATTATTAAAGCTTTCGTTTCATTAAATAGTTTTTTTTAAATAATCAAAGTTCATTCAAACTGTTCAAAAATAAATATAAGTATGGATGAAGGTACAAACATTGACTTTTTTTTCAATACTGAACTTAGCGCACTCTGCTGGTGCATTTGAAAACTAATTCACGTTCCAATTAAGCATCAGCATAATTCAGCATTGTGCGGCACTGAGTCGCATTATGCTCTGTAATTGGAAAGCAACCAATATTTGAAATGTCTAAATGTCAGTGACTGACTTTTGCTTTTGAAGGAAATTTGGAAATCATTATTTATTAATTTGATACTCTTTTCGATCCTCGACCGTGCTCGACTGCTCACGACCGTCAAAATGAAATAGCAGACAGATATCAATCAGCAAGATATATTGAGTGATAGTTCTGTTCTAATGATTACAAATTCCTAAGTATGAACCTATTTATCTAAATTTACGAGTAAAGCACACAAAATGGAAAATAATAACGAAGCCAACAACGAAAGGAAGTTCATGAATAAAGCGAAATCCTGTAACAGTGGACCTTCTGCTGGATTGAGGTCGAAAAATGATGCTGTTAAGCGTAAGTCTTTCTATATTAATGATGCTGTAAGATCATTAGACTTAGCGCTCGGTAGACTCAAGAAAAGTAAGTTGGCAAATTCAGAACACTGCCCAGATACTCAAATATCGTCTAATAAAAGAATGATGGAAATGATTAAGGATGCATATCCAAGTTTCGTTTTCAACCAAGGCATTGATAACGCTTCCGTTATGTCAATGAATTTTTCACATTACGAGTTGATGCGGAACTTATCCCAATCAAATTGTAATTCAGATGGTGCTGTTAGTGGAACCACCGGCGATACGCATGCGAGCCCAGCTGATCTATCTATGAAAGATGAACATTTAGAAAAATATTTCCGCAGCATCGAAATGTGGAGAAGGAACTACAACATGGACGGTCCCAGTAATTTGCACCTTGAGATACCAGAGAATTAAATGTCATTATACTGTATAGTCAAGGAAATAAAAACTACGCGATGAACGATTATGTAAATTTCAAAATTTTATTTATTTAAAGAAACTTTACAATCATAACAGAATAATTCTCAGAATATACAAATGAAACGTACCAATCTATACAACACTGTAACTCTTAAACGAGACGATAAGATTTATAACACTGATTAACAATAGGTAACGTAGAATTTAGATGCTTTTCTAGGGTCATCGAATGAAAATACATTGAGTGCAATAATGGTATAAACTATTTATTTTAAGTTCTCATGCGCTTTAAATAAATTTTCATGCATCAGGGTATCTATACTTCATTACAGTTGGAATTTGTCGTTCAGTCTCGCAAAATAGACCTACAAATTAGGTAAACAATTTATTATAGGTATAGGTTGTCCTCATAAATTGCTGGTCAAATTATTCAGTTTACTATGAGGGATCCAGTTTTGCTTTATTACGTATACCTACCATTATTGCACTCTATTATCGAACAATCTCGATCTAACTGCTAAGGGAGCCATCCGCGGCGCTCTAATATGTATACGAAGGCGGACACTAACTCTGCGCTAAGACCGCACTCGACTGTATAATTATAATAAAACAAATTATCTGACTTACAATGACGGTCAGTTAAGCCTTGTGTTAAATTGTACTAGCTATATCATAGACAATTTTTAATCAAATAAGGCAACAATTTATTGTTGGGATCACGAAACTGCGATAACCTTTTGAAAAAGATCTTTTCGTTTGGAATAATGGAAGCTTACATAAAATGCGCTAGTCGTTACCAATTAATGTTCTTATGTTTCCTTATGATAGCTGTATTATTATTCCATAGGCATTCTAAGAGCCCGATACAGATATAATTAGACTTTTGGTCCAGATCTTTGTTTACCTTGGCATCGCGTGTTTTAGTCGAGTGCAGTCCAGCATATATTGCAGGTGATCCTAAAAACACAGCATTACTGATTCACATTAATACCACATCCAATCCATTGAATTTGGATAAACTAGGACAAGAATCTAAATTTAATTTAATAGTTTCGGGAGAATATTGTGATTAAATAAATATTTACGTAGCTGTTCAGAGAGAGGAATATGAAATAATTGACATAGTTTCATCACAAATAGTTCCTACTTTCCTGCTTCAAGATTAAGACGATGTATGGAAGCTTTCGCTATATTGGAAGACTAAAGGACTATAATTTACTGAAGGAAGATAGGAGATAAGCGGCGTGCAAATAATTTATAGAACCAACCTTGTGCTAATTTAACAACGTCCCGGTATTCTACCATTTCGTTCTATAAAAACGCTATACACGAATTAAATTGGTGTTATCCGCTGATTTATTTTTCACATTGAGAAAGACCCCACTTAGTTTTAAAGAACTCTTATATTTAAGACTAGCTTCGCCTTGCACGTTTCATTACTTAGCATTAAGCGTGCTGCATGATTAGGCCTACCGACATCAGGTGTCGAGTAGAGTAAACAAAATTTTAATTATCTTTTCACTAACACTGGGTCGATCGGCCTACTGATGCTTGCACCTTGCCCCGTTCACTAGCAAATCGTATTGATATTAATGTATAACTAGAGAACAATCGCTAAAGAAATCAATACATACAACATGATGTAAAATTTAAAGCACCCGGTTTCCGAACTCTCTCGTATTTTATCTAACTATAAAATCTCATATTATGTTGTGTGATGTACACGTAGCCCATATTATATTGTCTATGTTTGTTTCAACTCCTGATAAAGTAAAGCAAAATTTTGTTACATTTACAATGGAAGAATTTCAAAATATCTAAATTAACAGTACAATCTTATAGTAATAATTAATTAATTTAATAATTACAACGAATTCGATTTCACTAGGCCCTACGTAGTTTCAGATGGATATAATATTAATAATTTATTTAATATAATTTTAATTCAATATCTTTAAAATTATGCAATAGAAGAATCACAGCATCCTTAAGACCATAACGGCAATTGAAATTAATCTCATCGACGTATCGTAGGTATTTAATTATTACAATGATTGTAAAATTTAGACCAAATTGGCAGTCTTCACAACGTGGAATGTGCGATATGCGTCTATGCAGGTATCCGATAACACTTAACAAATATCGGCAAACTTTTATCTCTATACAACAACAATGAATTATCTAGTTATGTCACAGTTCGGTGAAATTAACAACAAAGTTAAATCATCATCATCTTTATCATCATCAAACGTACATCACCATTCCAGTCCCCATGCGGGAACAGCGCTTGAAAATATAATTCTTCTGATAAAATGCATATCGACGTCTTCCAAGTTTCGACTTGATACAAGTCAATTTTTTTCTGATAAATTGTTGTTCGTACTGGTAAGTATGATTTAAGTTTCAGTTATGAATTACAAACTAATTCGGTGACTGCCTACTCGTTATTGAAATATCTATTAGAAAGGCAAATTTCCTAGCTCAATTAAAAAGTATTTTGTACAAGCTTATTACTCAAAATATATCGGTTTTGAGTTTCTACGGTGAAATATATTCACCGGCTACAAATATCGAGATAATTGTTTCGAAATTCATAAACACATTTAGTATTGATTCCACAGAAGGTTGGATGTTGGAATTCATTTTTTGTATAGTAACCAACCGTATCATAAGATCGATATGAGAATCTTACTTGATATTGTATAGGGATGTAACATACTTAATACTAGGAAGAGTTAATGGTGATGTGATGGAGCAAAAGCAGCTAAGGTTAGGGATGATCAAGGTCACTTCATTTCTAAATATTATAAGTCACTATAAAATGCGTTTCCTTCGATCAAATTTACACAAATTATGATATCTTATATACAATGTCGTACGAGGTATTTATAACAACAGCACTATACTTGTGAAAAACTTAACATTTCCAAATGTCTGACAATCAAATGAAACATTTTAATACATTTTAAAAGGCCTAGTAAAGTTCCCTAAATGATAAGCTCCTCATTTTTATTAGTTTTAACAATCGGATAAAGTAACAACTATGGTATTATTACAAGATTACATTTCATTAAAGATAATTCCCTTCATGTAACAAAGTTTTCCGGTAGTGCGTAATTCTATAAAGGAGTAGAGAATGTAAAAAAGCTTGGTATAGTAAAAGAGGTAGTAGAAAATGTTAGTAAAAGCCTAAGTGAACAAGCTCGAAATTCTATGAGTATTTATGATCACATTGTTCAGAAAACAGCACAAAAACCTATCAGTTAATTTACAGCCTAAAATTCCGACATAATCTTAAAAATTGTTCATGCTGTTGACCGTAACTGCATTATTCTGTTACACCAATATTGCGTGTAACACGTGAACTGATGACGATAAGTGTAGGTAAGGTAAGTATATATTTTTTAAATTACATAAACCTTTTTCACAATAAGAAATTAATTTCCTATCTAGGCTATACTTAGATGTAGAAGACACAGTATGACAGTTTAGCCGAAGGGTGCTGAAGCGAAGTTTTATGGATCGAATGAGGAAATATTCAATTTAAAGATATAAATACTATTCTAAACCTGTCACCTGGCACTTTAATTCAGTAGTCTGATGAAATACACTAACAAACATTTTCAGAACTAACCACAATTTTGGGGACAACCGATCGGTGAACCGTAACTGTATAATTTTTAGTCAGTGAAGTGCATAGACTTGAATTAAAGCACTAAATGCCAATTGTCCGCTGTCCGCTCTCGCATGTTTCCGTAACAAAATTAATAATCCTAAAATAAAACTATTGCTAACTATTATCGATTATATTTCGCATCGTCTTTTGCAGAACGGAATTATTTCTATTATCATAAGTTATGATTTCCTAAACTAATCACATAGACCTCGTGGTTGCATCGACTTCTGCGAGTTCGCACGAAGACATCAACGAGGGGAACACATTTCATTAAAGCACTATCATCATTTTTACATATTTACAGACAGCAGTAATATTAACAACGAATAGACAAATTATTGACAATTCTGTAAAACATCTTATGAATAATATCATTCTCAAAGACATGCGTAACTTGTTCTTTGTTTGCTTTTGATCAATTTTGCATGTTTCCCAGCTGTTTTATCAAGTTTTGTTTATAGAAGATTTTAATTAACCTATTTTACTGTGAGGTCTTTGGAGACAAGTTATTGCTTTAAGTAGGTGTGGCTTGCCAGTCTTATCTATCCGGCGGAGGCAGTTTTGTGTCCTCAGGGTCAAGGGAGAGGCATTCCCGAAGGTAGTCCTCCATAGACCTGTAAACGTGTTCGATAACACCCTTCAGATCATGACCTTCGTCTGCATACGCCTGCAATTAAGGAAACAAATTATACATTATTACAAATGTTATTTAATATAATAAATATTATCTGGTCTATCGTTGTTATGATTTTTAATAACTTAATACAAGGTAATTTTAGTTGGTGGCAAATGATATTCATAATCTGTGGTACGAATGAAACAGCTAGGTTGGGCCATAACTTACCACGTGGATCTAATCGGGATTGGTGGTTGCTTACAAATGCCGGGCAATGGCTTCACGTACCATCCGTGTCGTGGAGGAATACGGAAAAAATATTTTTCGGTCAGCCAGCCTATGACCGGCAATTGCGATACTTAGTTAACTTTCAAGAACAAAGCCCGAACACTCTTATCAGAGTGTCCTCTTTACTATATTAAATGTGATGAAATCTAGCCGAAGTTTGTCGGTCTAATGCCTAAATATTCTATCTTGTTTCTAAATACATTAAGATCTAAAATATAAACAGTTTAATTACAAACTTTGTTGTGATTGTCTATTTTTTATCTTTGTAGTAGGCGCCCAAGCTCCGTGTAGACTGAAAAATACACCCGTGTCGTGTTTTATTACCAGTTGGACTAGGATTATCCAAAGGCTCTTTTCACATACCTACACACATCTGCCTTATAACGCCTGGTTCGTGCCAACTCTTTCGCATACACCTTATTGCAGATAAGTGTGACGTACGGGTGTGAAAATGCGGATCACTAAGTGCTTAAGTCTGCAGATGCAACAGCATAATGTGGTTTAACCTTTCGGGTTTCAATCTATTTACCTGAAATCTGAAGAGCACACCGGCGTCGGATAACGCGCGGGCCAGCTGCAGCGCGTGCGGATAGGCCACGTCCATATCGGCCATGCCGTGCACGATCTACAGCGCTAGTGGAGACACAAAGGATGAGTGTTGGTTGGAGCAGTTGGATATTACCTGATATCTGAAGAGCACACCGGCGTCGGTTAACGCGCGGGCCAGCTGCAGCGCGTGCGGATAGGCCACGCCCATATCGGCCATGCCGTGCACGATCTACAGCGCGAGAGGAGACACAAAGGATGAGTATTGGTTGGAGCAGTTGGATATTACCTGATATCTGAAGAGCACACCGGCGTCAGTGAGCGCGCGGGCCAGCTGCAACGCGTGCGGATAGGGCGCGCTCATGTCGGCCATGCCGTGCACGAGGTACAGCGCGTGCGGGGGCACGTGGTGAGCGCGCTGCGACGCGTCCGCCTCCACGTACCCCTTGTAGTTCACCGACGGCGTACCCAGCACTCGCTCCGTGAATGCGGCGTCTGTGAAATCGATCACACTCATATAAATTTTACGCTATATTTAACATCCAGTTTACTCTAGTCACGCCGCTGCCGGTATGATGACATGACTTAGAAAATCCCAAGCACGCAAGATAAGCACTAAGTGTCGAGTTACGAAAAAGACCCGCCGGCGCCGTTTATTAAGAGACTACAATTTTCGTTAGCGTTTCTTTAAAGTACCTACCAAAATTTTACGTAGCAAGGTCAAGGGTGTGTTTACATTAACGCATCGAATTTGACTAAAGATATGTTACATATGTGAGAGGTGTTGAGAGTGAGCGGAATAGCAACAGTCGCACATGCACTCTTTGATGTTCGCACGAAACCACCATTTGAGGATCCACAGGCAGCGCGAGCGTCATCGTCCATGAAAAATATCAGAGAGATAAGGAATCTGTATCTATTGTCGATAATTTAAAAAAGGAAGCGACTAGTACCCGCAACATGATAACTTCATCATTTTCGCAATTTGACGTTCAGATATCCGTAAAATATATCATCGTAGAAGGGATTCAGGCCTAGAGCAGTCATCGTGAGGTGGGCTCTACGACGGTTTCGTCAAGTATACTCCGAAGTTTATGTAACTTTTTATAGCATGTCCCTAATCAATGGCACAAAATCCAGCTAAGCACGCTTTGTCTTCCTAGAACGTCCTTTGTAGAGAATTTAAAATATTAAATGGTTAGTGTCAGATCGATCTAAGATAAATCTAATGAATTTTATATTTCTGGCTATTGTTTATTTGGTATCCGATCATTGCAATTTATCGTGTTTTGTATAAACAAGTTATAAGCTTGTAGCTTAGATTCTTATTTCACTTACTGTAATACAGCCAATCAGTGATCGGCGAGACGGCGATCCCACACTTGAGCGTGGACTGCTGTGAGCCCAGCAGCATGGCCGTGACGTATCCGCCGTACCCCCAGCCCCACACCGCCACGCGGGTAACGTCCAAAAACTTGAACGTCTCTAACAAATATCTGAAATTCAAGAAAAGCATAATGTTTACTAAAGTTGTCAAAAATACTGGATTAGCTCAAGTCATATAAAAATGAGGGATAGTAGGAATATATAAATCTAACCACCTAATGAGGAGCTCGATGGCGCATCTGGTCTGCGAGCGTGGAAGTAAAGCAGATTTTGCTGTGGCCGGTTATCGGATGGGTCATCAAAATTGTTGTATCTCGAGCTCCTCAGTGTTTCGGGAGGCACGTCAAGTAGTTGGTCACGGTTGCATGTGCTGTCGTTAGCACCCACAATTCCGCACTGTGACCAAGTGGATCAAGGCCCCATCTCCCTATATCATCCATAGGAGAAGGCCTGTGCCTCAGCTATTGAGACATTAATAGGATGATGAAGATGATGATACCAACCTAATAACAGCCAACTGGTCCGCGACTTCAACACCTCCTAAACGGCCCCGTAACAGCGCCCTGGGGAGGCCCTTGGCGCCCGCTACGTCTAATTTCACATAGACTACGTCGTTTCGTGACGACATGTAAGAACCCCAGTCTACTAGGAATTTTTCCGTCACCTGCTGACTACCTGGTCGGCCGTCTCTGAAACAATACAATATAAATGATGAAAATACATGTAGTGAAATTGACCAGCTTGATAATTGCTTATTATGACGATTTAATTCTATGGACTCAAGAATTTTAATGACGACAATTGACGCTAAAATAAACTTACACTTTTTTTTATTACTATATTCAAAAATAACATTAAATAATGGCATGCGATAACATCGACAACCACTAAGGTTTATACTGCGTTATCGGAGCCAACCGTGAGCCCGAGATATCAAATGCATATCTCAATACCACATAAGGTACCTAGTGTTACCATACGTACCAAACTACGCTTTTCTATACAGTGGAAGTAGCTTCGTTAGGAAAATCCGCTACCTCTCCTGCTAAAATGTTAAACATACACATCAACTAGCACATCGAAGGCGGCGTCCCGCAAATCCTCTCTCCAGAAAGGTGGAAGCATCAGCAGGGCCCGAGCTTTGGACCCGCGATATTAAATGCATATCTCAATTAGGTAGTATTACCACATGTACTTCACTGCGGTTCTCTATACAGTGGAAGCAACTTCCCTTAAGGATATCCGCTACCTCTCCTGCTAAAACGTAAAACTTACACATAAACTAGCACAGGGAAGGCGGCGTCCCGAGCTTTGGACCCGCGGTATTAAATGCATAACTCAATTAGGTAGTGCTACCACATGTACTTCACTGCGGTTCTCTATACAGTGGAAGCAACTTCCCTTAAGGAAATCCGCTACCTCTCCTGCTAAAACGTAAAACTTACACATAAACTAGCACAGGGAAGGCGGCGTCCCGCAACTCCTCTCTCCAGGAAGGTGGAAGCATCAGCTGGACTCGAGCCCTAGACCCGCTGCCCAGCTGCACGTCGAACGACCGCCGGGTGGGCAGTGCCAACTCCCGGAGTCGTACCGATCTTGAAATAAAGTTGTTAAGTCAAATTAATCTTTAATCTCAAATTAAGTCATAAGTCAAATTAATCTTTAATCAATCAATCGCCCCTTTTTTTACAAAAAGAGAATAAGCTTGGATTTCTTACTTTCTCTTTGTTTCTTTTCATTGAATTACAAATGGGACTTGAGTGTTATGTACAAAACACGGCGTAACTAGTCTTAGCCTATTCCTCGTCTATTGATAAGGGGGTCGTATTCTAAACACCTATCCACATTTCTTTTAATTACATCAATAAATTACCCATTCTGGATTTTCTTATCTGAAAAGACAGACGCAGGTACCCCCTAGTGCATTATGGAATAGTAACGTCTTTTGCATATACTGCACTATATTATTACAATATTATACACAATTTGTAATCGGCCGCCCGCGACTTCGGCTGCGTTAACTTTAGTGTTTTGAGAATCCCTTAGAAACCTATCATTTTTTCGAGATAAAAGTATACTATGTCTCAATCAAGGTAATAAACTAAATGTGTCTAAATTTCATCCAAATCTGTTCAGCCGTCTTTGCGTGATTGAGTAACAAACATATCAATTTTCACATTTATAATATTAAGTGGAATGTTCAAATTGCAATCCACTTACCTATAAGGCCTCGTATCATATAATATTCTTTCTAGCTTATGAGTTCTAGCGTCGTGAAGACCAGCAAGAGGAGGGCCCGGGCCACCGCACTCGAGAACGTAATGCGTTATGCCTATTCTCGGCTTGGGTGGAGAAAATGTAGCTCTCCAAAAGGAGCAGTTCGCATAGTGCAAGCGAGCGGGCCACACCGCCAACTCGCATGTAAGGCACCGAGGTTCTTCGCGCTCCGCCCGAGCTCGCACCGAATTACTGCCGCCCCCGTAACTAGGGTCACGCACTACGTACACCTGCCGCTGACCCGGCCGCTCTGCACTACCTGCAACAAAAATGCATGATCAAACTTAGCTCTCCACTGCCTGGACAAAACTTGACACGAAAACAAAACAACATCTAGAAAAACCAAAACACTCATTACTAAATGGTGGGCTCGGGGAAACGTCGATTAGGTTGAACGATGACTCTGCAATGGTTAGTAAAAATAACAAAAAGGAAATATGATCTTTATGAAACACTCAACTGCACTCAGTCTAAATACTTAATTTGATTTGCTTGCTTCACCATATCGGGATGAAGATTACGTATGCATAGCTTTTCTTTGTCTAAACCTTTAATAACAGAAAATATAAAATAAAGATATAGAAAAACTTAAATTTTTGGTAGGTGTATGAATGAAATCAAAGTATTAAGAATTACCTAAATAATAAACTAAATGGTTTTCCTGGTCCCATGCCAGGATCTCTGCCACTTCTACTTTCCCATGTGATAATACCGCAATGCGTTGTCTCAACACATCCACATGTTTTATGTGTGTGTAGTATTGTCCACCACCTTCTTGCACGGCAGCCAGAAGAAGAAATGCACTTCCGTCAGCCGAGTATACCGGCTGTGGATGGACTTCCAACCAGGGCTCATCCGTCGCCTTTTCAGAATGCGTCTAAAACGTTAAGAAATAATTACGTAAAAGATGTCAGTAAATCACATTTATGTTCTACAAATCATAGCAGAATAAAAAATGAAGCGCGATCAAACAATTATACCGAAATCACATGAGATAGAATTAGGAAGTGAGCCTTATACCTCGGTGCAAGTCCAGTTAGGTGCATAACAGCTGCTATATACGGTGAGATTTTGTGCACGATTCATCCACACTACCCCTACATGTGCATTATCTTTGCCCACCCACTGGGCTGATATGAGGTAATATTCCCTGAAAAAAAAATATATATAAAGCACCGTGACAGAGGAACAATAAATAAATTTTCAAGTAGTTGTAATCTGACAGCGTACATTCCATCTAACGTGCTCGGAGGTTTGACTTCCCATCTCGGAGGCGAAGTTACATTTTGAACACCTACTATCCATAACCTCGCTATCGGTATTGAGCTGCCGGGCTGAAACATAGCAACAAGTGTCAGTGCCACGCGAAAACGTCGCTTAAAACTGAGTAGGTATGGAATAAGTTGGTTTACCGTGGGGTATCTGATAGTAATGTGGTCGGGGAAGACTGTGGGCGCGGTGTTGTTTAGCGTGGGGAGCAGGAATCCTGACCTGGCCGCTCCGATGCCTCCTATTCCTTCTGAGATCCGGGGAAACTTGAGCTCCGATACCAAACTGTCATCGTACTGAACGTACAGTACTAGGGTGCCATCAAAAGATCCCCACATAGCTGATGATGTTTTTGTCATCTCCTCTGCAAATAAATTAGTCAACCCTTGAAATATATTTATTTTGTAAGAAACCTCAAGATAAATGTATTGTTTATGCATTTAAATGATCTCTTAACCTTAAAATCTTATCAATATGGAGTGGAAGTATTTATAAGTCGATAACAGTAGTTTAAAGAAATTGGAAAAATGTATGAGCCAGACGAATATTGGATAATGGACGAAGTGTCTTATGTTGCATGTTGAGTGAGAGTACAATTCAAATACTTCAAAGAAAATATTCTATTTGGCAGATTCAAATACGTCTTAAAATAGACTGATGTTAGTTTTCAAAACGTTTAAGATGTACAAACCTTGGTACAACCAATCTGACACCCCATTGTATACCCGGCCGGGCACCGCGTCACTGGTGAGCCGCAGCAGCGGGGCTCGCCTCGCCGGCGGGCCCGGTTGGGCCATGACCTCGTTATCTGCCGCCAGTAGCAACGACCCATCTCCCCCAAGCCACGCGGCGTGCTGCCACTCCCAACTTCTCTGGCCCTCACCGAATAGGGGGATATGGTGGCTACAACGATACATCACGTGAAAAACATTACATACGTTCTTGCAGTCCCAACTTCTTTGGCCCACACCGAATTGGGGGATATGGTACAATAATGATACATAAGAGGGGAGGCGGGCAATGTTTTTTCGGTGCAAAAGTTTTCGAGCGATTCCTCCTTGATTTTTATCACTAAAGAATAAATTTTCATATATAAAATATAATTTTACTCATTCTATGCTCCTATGTCTCCCTTTTTTTATAACTTGTGTTTCAAAGAAACTAGAAAATCTCGAAAAGGTCCTTTTTGGACCTTTTAAACAATATTTATCACCACTAAAGACGTCTTGTGTAGAGATTTAATAAGCATTTACAAAAAATCAAAAGATAAAATCATAGTTTAACCACTTATTATTATTTGTGTAAAATTTCTTATACATGTATCTAATTTTCGAGGAGGAAATCGTCGAGAGCCAAACCTCGAATTTTGCAATTTTACACACAATTTACAGCGTCAGCTACTGTTGTCCCTATCGCCTGCCAATGCGTGACAGCAATAGTTTTTTCAAATACCTATGTCTCAAATGGTACATCACACACATTGCTTTGATCACACTGATAAAGAAATGAAACCTGTGATTTTATAGACAAAAGTAATCATTTGCAGTAACTTCCCATGTCGAACGAGCAACGCCGCGTGCTGCCACTCCCAACTTTTCTAGCCCTCAGAATAATCAGTTGTCACATACCTACATTGCTTTGATCACCATACCTCTGATTTAAGATTAAAGTCATCTTTTGAAACCAGGAATTCTCAAATTGCGATGCCTACACCGTGCTATTAAATAATTTCATTCGATTGCTTTAAAGTATCTAAACTAATAGTTAATTTAAAAAATCTTAATCAAGTAGTTAATTTATAAAAGATACCTAAGTTACTTTTAATTAAGTTGAACTGCATCTATTCAAAAGCACCGAAGTTTAAAAGCTCCTGTTCAAACAAAGCATAAAGTTCAAATAAATCTGGTAACATATTCTATTTTGTGATGGGCAATTTAAAGTTTACGCCTTGAATTCTCTATAGTGCTGTAACTTTTAGTTTAGCCACCTCGGCCACCTAAAGTATTGCATTGGTCCGCATGGCGCGTCTCGGATCGCATTAAAATTCCACTCGCAAATTTCGAAATAAATTGAGAAACGTATTCACGTAGTATCCATCGCCAAATCGATTTCTTCACCCGCCAAAGGAAAAAGGAAATTCGTAAAATAAGATATGATTCGGAAGAGAAAACAAACCGGGGCACTGGCTTCTTTTAAAATTGCCTCTTAAAAGCTATTTGCTTCGGGGAGACGCTTTTAAAAACTCTTTATGCAAAGTCGCTCAATGAAACAAGAAAATGGGTTACGTTTAAGTAAGTCGGTGCTGGTAAAGGAAGCTTGAATTGCTAGCTATCTCTAAGAAACAGTTAACTATTAGAATTAGACATTATTACAATGTTCTCACTCGAAATGGAGAAAAGCTAGTTTAATTAAAAATGAAAGAATATGAATTACCTACTGTTTTAAATCTTTGCTGATATTACCCTAAGGTTTTCAAATGAATGTTTCTCTATATATCATAACTTTTAAGGTAATGCCTTATTAATATTGAAAATGTCTCTGAATCGTTCATAAATCGTTACATATTTGAAAATAGAAAAACCGATTTAACAAAACCTGTTTATCATCATAATACTAAATCGAAATCATGAAAATTCGACGCGAGGAAATTGTGTTCGTCATAATCTAACAGCGACCAACGATAGGATCAATGGCTGATGATACAATAATAAAAAAATCTAAATCTGATTTAAAGGAGAACAATATTTATTTGTGACAAAAATATTATTGGTATTAGGTGATGACCATAATATAATTTGACGTTTTTGATCATATTATTTTCTTAACGTACTATGCTTATATGAACATACTAGCTGTGCCCCGCAGTGTAACCCGCAGTTTATTAGGGATATTTTCCCTTAGTAAAAACTAGCCTATGTGTTAATCCAGGGTGTCAGCTAACTCTATACCAAATTTTATTAAAATCGCTCCAGCCGTTTAGACGTGAAGAAGTAACAAACATACACACTCACAAACTTTCGCCTTTATAATATTAGTATGATAAGCGATCTGTGCGAAAAGTTTTATAAAAAGCTTTTATATGTCCGAACATAACAGGAGCCAATATATGATCTATACTTATAATAAATCTGTAGAGATGTCAATTCTGTACATGAAATATATTTTTAAAATAACTATCAGGGGTTGATTAGTGATCGATACTGATGCTAAAAATGCAATCAGTAAAATTTTTGTCTGCCTGTCTGTCTGTGTGTATGTTCCTTATAGAAACAAAAAATAATCAACGGATTTTAACGAAACTTGGTACAATTATTCTTCATACTCCTGGGCAGGTTATAGTATACTTATCATCACGCTACAATCAATAGCAGCAGTGTAGTGAAGGGAAATCTTGGGAAAACGGGAGAAGTTACTCCATTTTTTAAGCTTCCGTCGCGGGTGCAGCCTTAATGGTTAAAGTTACATAGAAATCATGTATGACGGAAATATTCAACATAAAATTGTCTTAAAAATATCCCGCAACAGCATATGTCTATCTTTTATGGTTGACTCACAATAACACGTGTAATTATATAAATAAAGTCATTGTTTATAGCACAAGCCTGAGAACAAAAACTATAGTTTACACTACAGCTCTACACCGAAGCGAAGCGAGGGCGGGCCACTAGTTTTTAATAAAATAAACAAATTTTGAAATCAATTTCCAAATTATTCTTTCTACTTCTTTTTACTTTCCTGAATAAAACTGTTAATTTTAGTAGGTATATTGTATCGAGCTCATATTTTTCTCGATGCATAAGAAACATTCGCTCAGTGATATAAAATTTGAGAAACAATACCGGATAGCGATGATAGTCCTGGAATCACGTCTGTTCAAGCCGAACGCAGCGACGTCTATTATGCTTCGCGACAGATGTAGACTCGAGGAGAATAGACTTCGCGACATTTTGATATGTTTAAATCGAAGGATATTTCATTCTATTTTATAATAAAAGTACAACGGCTATTGTCAGCTTTTCCATCTTGTAGATAAAGCCTTTCAATTATGTGGCTGTCACATTTCAAGAACATTTTATGAAATCTGTCAGCTTCTTTAAATTTGATACGAATGTTTATGTATTCAGCTATTAGTAAGTGAAAATTGATTTAGGAGCAGGGAATTTGATATGTACGATGTTTACGACAACCTCTAAGATGTGAGGTATCAAATATTAAAAGCTACTCACTCGTTTGTGACGTCATAAACTGTGTAGTGCGCTGTAAACGTCCGTCGATAAACCTGTAAAATAACAAAACTCTAATAGCAACGTCTAACAGTAGATTACGAATTCAGTAATGACCGTCTTATTTATTTTGAAGAAAAAAAATCCAATTAAAAGTTTCTCATTCTCGATCAGTACGTACCTCCTTGATATTGTGTTGGAAGAGAACGTAACGTAGGTTGGGCGAACACTGGTACCCGCGGACATTCAGCTGCCTCTGTGATAAAACAGTATTCATTTCAGCTAACAAGTCAGAATTTTAGATGAAGCCGCGCGTAACTTCACCCTCCTATCTGCCTATCGCGGCGGCGGCATCTACCTTTGTTAAGCGATCTTAATTAAAGACCCGACGATGTCGGTTGAATGAAAAGTTATTCGTTCATTCACAATTTAAAGCTGAAAAAATATCTTTTAAGTTGGCTTCTACGGCTATCACTGAAGAGCTTACACAGTCGCTGCTTACCATTAATTTAAAGAATAGTTTAATATCACAACCATTACAAATTAATTCAAACTCTGGGTTATACTTTTTGTTTCGTCTGAAGTCCAATAAAATAAAAAACAGGAAAATAACTTAAACACAAACAAATATTTTAAGAAATATTTGGGAAAATTGAACAAAGATTAGTCAGAGATGTTTATCTTAAGAGATCAGGGCGCGATACTTAAACTTACCAGGGTGTGATTCGTGACGAGTACAGAAAGTGTGTTGTTGAAAGTATCTAAAGCTAAAAGTCCGCCGTCGTCTGCTTGGTAGACCAGTTGATGGGAGCTGACCCAAGTGGTAGGCAGCCTCTCTCCTGTAAGGTCTCCCCGAAGAAACTCGTCTAATCTCATGCGACGCCCCGACCAGTAAAGAAGTTCGTCTACGTAACTGCAAACAAAAGAAATACAACTTGAACCTTTTACTGAACTTTGAAAATTGCTCGAATTTTGAACAAAGACGTTTTGCTTTTTGTACAACACTTAAAATTTTATCTGTGCGGTGACGGAGAACGAATGTTAAAGATAGAGGCATCTAAGGAAACTCAGTGCCTCTCCTCTGCACTGGTGGAAGAGCGCTTAATGCCCGCCAGGTTAATTACCACCATGCGCTTGGTGTAAAATCCGTGAAGTGCTCCTCGAGCGCGTTTCGTGGTCAGCCAGTGGACAACCAGAGTTTGAGCGGGCGGTACCGCGACAGATTCGGTCCAGGGTTGGCATCCGTCGAACCGACGCGACGCCGGGAGGACTGCATTGATCCGCCAGTGACGGAGACCTGTAGAAGCGGCTGTTCCGCTGGCTGCCCGTGGCACAGTACACTAGTTCGTGTGGCTGCCCCATTATGCCCCTCAAAATCCCAGGGTGGACCGTTGTGTCGGTTAGTGACCGGATTGTGGGGTCCCGATGGACAATGCTGGTCTACGTTGTCACTGATTTACTGTGGCCACTATTCGTACACATAGTAATTTGCAGACTCATTTCTTTTTCGTATTATCAAGTGGAATTCGTTGCACGCATACACGTGCCCTCCTTTCTATTATCTGGGGTCCATTATAAGAGGCGTGAAGAAGCATTTGTGTAAGTCGGCAAGGTGAGGATGTTTGGCGTAGCAGCTCATACCTGCTGCACCAGTTATATTCGCACTTGGACTTTATCAATACTCAACATCAGGTAGGTTAGAGTCCTTTGCATACCTAAATAGATCAAAAAATACAAAAAAGAACACTTACCCTAGTAAATAAATGGCTGTAACAATACCGGCGATGACAAAACTGATTACCATCAATGAAAATATGATACTCTTCCAGTTGTGTCCATCTCCTTGGTACAGCTCCTGAAAGATAAGAAAATGGTTTACAGTGTATCTGCAATGAAGTTCACATTGTAAACAATTACTTACTATTAATCTGTACCCTTAGTACGAGTTTTACAATTACGAAAACTATAATAGTTTTCGTGAGCTCGTACTCGTACTAAGGGTACTGATTTTATTGTTTTCGTTTCAATACAAATAAACAGTGTTTAAATACTGTCATTAAATCATTTGCGTCTTCTTAAATTTTAAGTACATTATTGGCTACTTTTCGCCAAAATGGACATAGAAACATAATTTACAATTACGAAAACTATGATAGTTTTCGTGAGCTCAAGCTCGTACTACGGGTACAGCATTAGAAAGTATAAAAAATATGTATATTAAATCGAGCTCTCATAAAGGAACTGTGATTATTATGAGCGTAATATTCGTCTAAGTATCTGCTTCGGGAGCTTCGTTCATAAAACTTTAATCATTCTCATTTAATGCACAGAAAAGACAATACCGGAATAGCTCGCAATGCAATTATTGACGATATTGTCTTACCACTGCCTGCACTGCTCTATTATTATTGCTATACATGGTCACGAATCACGATACATTGAATCATTTAATGTTGATTTTAAGCTTACGCCCACGTATTGGTTATATATATACATGATACAACCAAATGTTCCAATCCGACCGATATTCAACCGAACGTCATCAAACTTACGATTGTTGGCCAGAATCAACATCGAATCCTTAATTCATTTAGAATCATAGACAAACTTTAGGAGAGTTTGTTTTGGAATAAATGATTTATTGGAATATAGTCCAGTCAATGAAGGCAAAAATCAGCTACAACCTCCGATTTCGTTGAACCTCCATCGATTTTCATGAAAATTGGTGAATAGGTGGGGGATACCTTAAGAAACAAAAGTGACATAGTGCCAACTTGCGCTTTTACCCTGGGAGTAGATGCCACCTCTTCCCGGGGGGTGAAACTCATTTTAATAAAATAACTCGAGAAATCGATAGAAAAATAAATTCCAAGCAAAATTTGTTAAATAAAGATTTTGGAATAAATCAATACTTTCCGAGTTATTAAAAACCAAAGATTGTGATTTTTCGTAATAAAAATTCATGTTTAAAAGCGGTTTTTATAAGTAACTCAAAAACTATGAGTTTTTACAAAAAATGTATTATTACCAGAATTAAAGCTAATAAAAAAAGAAAGAACTTACTACTACTTTAAAAAACCTTCTAATATTAATTCAAAGTGAGCTATAGGAAATTGTGTGTATATTTTTTTCGGCGAGTACTTAAATCTAAGTATTCAAACCTTAATAACGGGAAACCGATGCATTTTATGACATATATACTTCCTGAACACTTTTTAAAGTCCTTAGAAATACCTTTCTAAAGAGTACTGAAAAAAGTTAAAAGTATCAAAATTGAGCAAGTTATGATAAAAATAAGATGACACTTTCGATTTTTTTTGGAAAAAAACGAAATATAAAACATTTGCCATTTCTACAAAAATTCAAATAATGGTGACGATCTCAAAAATTTTGCCCGGTTTAAAATGCTTATTTTTCATAAACAAGTATCATTTAATAAAATTTTTATTATTTTCGTAATTTTCATTTTCTTTTGAAAATAACTTCAAAAATATTGGATATTAGTAAAAATGGTATGTGACGGAATTTCGGTTCTTTTTTTAACAAAGATTTTGGTTAATTTTATAGAATGTAAAATTACCGATATAGAGACGTTTAAAACCTATCTTTTACTGCGAGAACCATGTAACCGGCACCCTTAAACACATTATCTTTTAAAAAATAAGTAGGACAGATTTCCAAATTCGTAAAAATATTTTCCCGCCGGCGCAGTCACAATAACTACATTTACTTCATAGAAAACACATAGCAAGCAACCGAGTTACCTTTGAATTATTATTTCTTACATAAGTGATAAATTAGACCTCAAAACTAAAGTGGAGTGCAGTTCAGAGCAGATTAGCTAGGTCTTTAATTAGACGACTTTTGTCGTATGTTGAATCGAGAATTCTCAGATTTCTGACTTTATATTCTGTTGTAAAAGAGCGTTTCTATCCATACTTTGAATCAGAGTAAGAGCCTGAAACTCCTTAATATTATGCGTTTTAATCAGCTAATAGAGAGATGGATTTTTTAAAAAAAAAAATAAATTTAAATTTTGGTACTTTGTACCCTCTTGTATTATATTTTCTAGTGTATCCAAAAAACTGTTTTATGAAAAGCAATCTCAAGTTCTAGACAGGGTACATGGAAGATATAATATTCTAATCGTGTATGCAACTCATCTCGTACACTATTCATTTCATTCACAGGGACCGCTATAAAAACTTTATGAAGCTACCTAACGTTTATCTATTTGGGTCTACTGAAGAAATAATGAGATGTTTTTTGTCCACCGAGGTATTTTGTTAGGAGTTTTAAAATGCCGTAGAGATTTGACTCTTATTATCAATTTATAGTGTCTAATTAGCTGAAACTGTTACTAAACTGTTAGAGCTTGGTGTAGATAAAATATTGGTGCAGATAAATATTGATCCGGCTCGAAGGACCAATATTGGGGCTCGTACCCAAATATGAATGTTTAATGTTTCAGGAATGCAACTGTTCAGACGAAGGTATGTAAATATGTAGACCGTTCGTATTGAATATGTTTATTGCACTAAAATAATAATATCTGTAAATATTGAAGCGCGCTACGCAGTTGCGCACGGTCATCAAAATAATAAGGTCAAACACAAAATACGTAATGTACTGCTTGTACACCTGTCTTCTCATGTGGTATAGTGTAAAGTATTGACAACGATGTATCATTCTAGCAACTAATAAATTAGTTTTGCGAATGTAATAAATACTTGAATATCAACATTGACGAAAGCTGAACTTTTTGTGTTTTTTTTCAAAACATGTTTCAATGGTAATATGCCTTGAGAAAGAAAGCTCCCTAGGTTAGGGAAATGGGATCAGATTACCGATATAACCCTCCCATTTTCGTTCGCACATAGCAAAATTATGTTTGTGCTTTAATTTGACTTTGTATTATGATGTTACGATTCCAGAGGAAGATAGTAAATAGGCTTGGCAAAACATTGAGTGTGTATGTGTCTGGAATATGGTAGCTATAAGATAGAACATGCATGCACGACGGTTTCAGGCCGTGCATCACAGACAAATTAGCGGCAAAATACCACCCAAAATGATAAATGATGGTGACGACCTCCGTGGCCGAGAGGTATGTACTTCGGGCTTCAAGGTGTCGCATTCTCAAAGGTCCCGGGTTCGAATCCTGGTGACGCAAATGTTAGTATGATGAATGCGAGCATTTGTAAGTCATGGATGTTTATATGTATTGTATGTATCAGAATGTATCCCTGCCGGTACCGTCCAGGAAATGAAGCATTTTGGCTCGCCATTTTTTCGTCCATCATGGATTTACTTGAAATTTTCACAAAAGGTAGGGAACAGCTCAAGCATCATTTTCTATATTATGCCGCTGTATGCTAGAGCCTTAGGGGTGGTTGCCACCCTATCTCGAGATTCTTTATTACATTTTAACTGAAGGAATCGACGGAAAAAATAATTCTAAGAAAAAAAATATTATATACGTTATTTTCGTAAAACTAATATTTTTTGAGTTATTCAAAGTTGAAAGTAACAGATTTTTGCGAATATCTCAAAAAATATGCTTTTTATCAAAAAAACTTTACAGAGTCTACTTGTAGCTTTTAAATAACGAAAACAATACGTTATTTATAATTTTTCTATGACAAATATGAACTAAGATACAGCAAATTAATGTCAAATGCATAAATTGGAAGATTTACAGCGAGTGTCTCTAGCATGAAACTTGACCGACTTATGATCAAAATAAGATTGGTACCCGCTTTTCTCTACGAAAAAAATGTGTGAAAACTACCCCTAAACTACCCCCTAATTAAAATTGATCGCCACCATTCTGTAATTCTCTTTATGTATGTACTATTAATACACCCACGAAATTTGACCAATTTAAAGAGCCAAATTATAGAAAAATTAGAAAAAAACCGTTTTTTTTTTTTCAATTTCGTGTTTTTCACCATTTTATTAAAAATATCTCCCAAAATACTAAAGATACGAATAAAACAATAAAGTACTAAATTGTTGCTTTCTTTATGACAAAAATTTCCCTGTGTGCATATTTTTTGTACAGTGAATATTCGGCGAGATATAGCCGTTTAACACCTACATTTACGATCGAACATCACCGTATTCAAGCGTTTTAAACTCTCCCCATTTTAAAATTAAGGGATCTTAAGTAATTGAAATCTCATAGTCTTATAGCTCCTGAAAAGCTGTACAAATTCTTTTCTGAAAAAAAAATCTAACACCTAAAATGAAGGCTAAAAAATTTTTTTTCAAAAGAATCTATATTTTTAAGGATAGTTTTTAACAAGGGTAGGTTGAAAGATTATGAATTTTTTTCCTTAAGCATGAAACAATCATTTTTAACAATTTTTACCCATATTTAGGTTTTCTGTTTTATTTTATAATTTTTGATAATAAGTTAAGTATATAAGTTTCACCCCTAAAAATAAAAATCATACAACGGCACAATATAGAAAATGAACTAGAGGGTGAAATAAGCCTAATCCCAAATTTTTGTACAAATCGGTGCTGGACGAAAAAATTGCGAGGTTTTACTATTTTTTTTAGCTTCATTTCCTGGACTGAAGATACTATATCTTATAACACAAGCTTTTACGGCTAGGCTAATTGTGTGTGTTAAACTCACCTCTTCCTTCGCAGACTTGGGGTCGGCGACCTGCAGCGTCTCGTCGGGCGGGAGGCGCCAAGAGCCGCCGCCGCCGCCGCCGCCCGAGCGGTCCGTGTGGCCGGTGGCGTGCATGCACCGCCGCCGCCGCCGCCGCCGCGCGCGCACCCGCCACCGCGCCGCGCTACGCGCCCGTGCCCGCGCCCGCCCCCGCCCCGCCGCACGCCTGCGAGCGCTCGAGCCGCGTGCCTCGCCCCATCACTGGAAAACAAATGACACAGTTCATTATTTTAGTTTTTGTCTGCTAGATTTTTTTCTTCTCTATTTAAAACTTCGCTTCGGTGTAGTGAGTTTTTTAGGTTCTCAGGCTTGTAAGACCATAATATCTAATATATAAAATTCTCGTGTCACGGTGTGCGTAATTAAACTCCACCGAAACGGCTCTACCGATTTTCGTGAAATTTTATATGCATATTCAGTAGGTCTGAGAATCGGACAACATCTATTTTTCATCCCCCTAAATGTTAAGTTCACTATTCAATTTTTTTTTGACAATTATTTTTGTTTTTATTTTTTTATGATACATCGTACAAATATTCATACAATCCTTAATTTTCACCCTTCTACCGCCCATATTTTTATGGCTATACGAAGTTCGCTGGCTCAGCTGGTTTACTTATATAATCCTGCCGTGAAAAAATATTATTCAACTGATAGTGAAAATTTTGTTGCGTAGTTTAGGACCCTTTGTAAGGAAAGCACCATTGCTCAGCTGTTAAAAAGTATTTCCTCCTCATCATTGGTCCATGCCCTTAAAATTAAACGTATCTAAATTCTAATCTAGTGACACAGTGTTTTGTACACATCCATCACATTTATCACTCATAATAACTTTGGAACTTGGGAATGGTATATTTCAAAAAATAAATTATAGGTAGGTACTGATATAACCTTGAATACGAAGTGGTTTATTTCGATAAGGACTAATACGTTGGTACGAATAATGTAGCGTATTGATGTCCTACACCTAGTCAGGTCATAAATTCTGTCACATGTTTAATATAAAATAATTGAAACAAGTTTATTTATTATGTAACCATTTATATACCAAAATGAACTTAACAAAACATAGATTCTTATGACAATAAAGTTTATTCAAAATGACTTCCGTGGTTTTGAATACAGGCCTTCAATCTGCGCGGCCAGTCGTCTATAGCAGCACGAACGAGGTCCATGTCAATATCGGCGGCTGCCTTAATCAAAAATGTCTTGAGTGACTCCAAATTCGGATGAGGCTTTGAGCACGCCTTTTCCTCCAAGTGTTGCCATATCTTGTAATCTAACAGACTCAAATCTGGACTGGAGGCGGGTCAGTCTTCGTGCCGGATGAAGTCAATTTCACGCGCCGCCAGCCAGTCTTGTGTGCTCTTCGCTCAATGAGCTGGCGCCGAATCTTGTTGGTATACCCAGTGCCTGTTATTGAACATGGTATGAGAAACAGGTTCCACAAGGTTCGTCAGGACTGTATTTTGATACACATTTGCATTCGTTTTTACACCTTTCTCACAAAAATGTACGTCATACGTGTGCGTACACCTTATCATTTTGTTTGTTGTAGCTCTCTTCTACGGTAAAATTTTTTTCATCCGAAAAAAGAATTTCTCGATATTTTTTTCCCGCGTACTGCTTCAACAAAACGCCTCATCTCTTCAGTCTCAGTCCATTAGACGAGCATTCAAACGATGTCCTGTTTTTCTTCAATATGCCCGAAGCCCTAAGTCTTCATTTAACACCCTTTTCACCGTGGTTCTGCTTAACCCCATCTGAAGGGCCAACAGTTTCTGCTTACGTTTGGGATTTCTTTGAATTCGCGCCTTCACAGCTTTTATCACTGCTGGAGTCCTAACAGACCGAGGGCGACCACTTCTTGACCTGTCATCTACAGTAAGAGTCCTCATTGTATCGTTTGATGGTACGATAAACGAATCTTTTGGTTATATTCAAAATTTTCAGTATGTCAAAATTTTAATTGGCGCGTAACCGCAACGAAGCAACGCAATACCTGCAACACGGTCTTCTTTAAGCGTCCACTCCATATTTAAAAATGAGTAAAATTCTAAAAAGTATACATTTTTATTTTCATGAACAATTCGAAATTCGAATTCAATAACCTTTTTCGTGGCCAGCATTCTAAAACAAAAGTTTTTACTCTGTGACCATACTTATGACCTGACTGTGTATAAAATTGTTGTACATCATTTTGCTCATAGTCAATAGCAATTATAATTGCCGCAGCGGACGCGATGTAAGTATTTTTGGTAAGCTTTTCACACGTTGTGTTACATTATCGAAGTTTACATACGGATACGTCACTTTTTTGAAAATATTCTATCACCTATGTTCATCAGGGATAATGTAGGATTCTAAATATGTTTTTTTTTTGAATCGGTCCAGTAGTTACGAAGACTACTCAATTCAATGCAAACAAAGAAATCTTTCCTCTTTATTATATTAGTATAGATGTTAATGTTATGCTGTCTCATACACGACGTAAGTGGAATTTATTCTAGTTGAAATTATTCATCCGTAACGAGAAACAACATTGTAAGTAATGCCTATTAAGTGTCCTTGTAGGGGTGTAATATTTATTTTATTGTACGAGTATGAACTTCTAGTCTACGTGGTAGGACCATGGTAAGTTTTGTGCTGAAATCAGAATTTCTGTTTGAGTATATTTTCAAGAAGCCGGCACACAAATAAATTTTAGAAGAATCTTGTGATGTTCAGTGACTTAGGTAGCCAGAGTCCAATGGTAAAACTGATACAGTTCAAGCAAAATAAAGTGCATTAGAAAATATTTTTTCCTAAGAGAATTCGATAAAAGATGGTTAAAAAAAAACGAGTGTGCTTATGACCATACGACTGAAGTGAAACTTCTTTAGTGCCAATGATCAGAAAATCATAAACTTAACCTGAAGATTTGTGTAAAAAAAATACCACCAATCCGCGCTGGGTCCGTTATCACCCACTAATCCGCATTGGGTCCGTTATCACCCACCAATCTGAGCTGGGTCCATTATCACCCACCAATCTGAGCTGGGTCCATTATCACCCACCAAGCACTAGATTCATGTATTTTGTGACAGGTGTTGTTCATTGTTTACCGATGAGTCTCCGATAACAGTAATCATAACGCGAAATCGTAACACATTCGCCAGTTACCCCCCAAGTCAAGCGTGCCTAAATAAGTTTCACTTCAAAAACTTAATATATTTGTATAACGGGCCGTTGTTCAGCAAATTATTTCAAAGAGCGCAAAGCAATGACTTCATAAATCCATTTTATAATAAACAAAGATATTCAATGCATAACTTATAGTGCTTGTAATTTTGGCCGCGAAACTCTCACACTGTGCTTGCTCTGAAACCGCCGTACATGCACTAAACCGCGAGTAATGGCCGGCGAACAGGCGCAGCCGCTTGTAAACTGCATTTCGATACACTGTCCGAAATGAAGTTTCGCTGTATTAACACCACCCTTACTACGAACATGTTCGAGTAGCTACGATATATAAAAGCTCGAAGGAACAAAATGTGGCGATATATATTTAGTGATATAATATACCATTTTTATTTCATATTGTATCATATAATAAAGATATTACGGAATAATAAACATAACCACCGACTGACAGTAATGTTTGTAATTCACTGAACGATATTGTCAATATTGTCATGAAAATAAAACGCTTAGTTAGCAAATATTTCACAACGTTTCACCGTGCACGGGCATTATAGTTTATTGTAATTATTCGGCGTATAGGTACATACTTAAACGTTTAGTGTAACTTATAGTTAATTATATTTTAATATAAAACTTGGTATTCAACTTGCTTTCTGTAGGTTGTCAAGTTATCATTTTTGACGCTGTTAATAGAATACCTTTAAAGATGCTGTATATTTAATTTTTAAATGTGTATGTATATTTTCATGTCCTAAGCAAAATTTTTACTAGCCCGTAAACATGATTATCGAAAATTTTCTCCTATTTCTCTCTGAGCTATTTGATGTATGATGTACTACTATACGGTACTTTGGTACCGAGGGCATCTTTTTTGTTGTTTTGCACACCTTCTTAGTTTTGATTTTGGCCATTTACATCTAAACAATTATTTGTATGTTGATTATTTCTATGTATGTCTTATTTAAATAGAAATTCATAATTTATTGAGCAATTCTTTAAAGTTCATCAGTCACAGCGAATCTAATTTTCGGCACGTCCTAGTCGTGAGAATGACCGATAAGGATTCCTTTTTTTTCGATTTAAAGTACGGAATCCTTAAAACGCTAAACAGTTGCCATAAATACGTTATGTGACGGTTTTGTTGCTGGATGTGTCTACTACAATGTCTGCCAGTTTCAGCATCATGTAGTTTTGCAAAACTTTGAAACAAAATTATTGAGGTGTTAAAGTTTGTATGATGAGATGACATGTCAAATAAACCAAGAAATCATTTTATTTATTTATTTCTAGGGTATTTTATGTATTGCATGTATATAATACGACTATATTTTACCGAGCCGCTTCAGTATAAAACAACCTGAAAGCTGTGAACGTCAACGGGGTTTGCGCGGCACGACTGAGAGTACCCGTAACTCACTTCCCCTGCTTCATCCCCTCAAATACCTAAACTACCGCCGCTACAAACGGCATCTGAAGCCATATTATAGAAAACAAAATTAACGTGAGTGTCGTGAAACACTGGGTTAGGACAAAGTTAAAAAGAAAAATAAGTATTAATAAACAACTCACACAATACGCTACGGAATAACTGACGGTAGTGATGAAAAATTTTACACTTTTTATGCCTGTTCGCCATCCCCCAAGGAATCATCTGATCCATCCAAAAGGAATTCGTTTCAGACACAATATTAAAAACGTAAAGTTTTGTAAATAATCAAATAATGCTATGATGTTTTACCTGAAACATACTTTAATTTTATTTGATTGCATTTTATAAGGTAAACAGATAAAATAATTAAAATCTCTTTAAAATTTCAAATAATGTAAAATACCCGTAAAGTAAAATAATACCTATTTTACTTTACGAGTATTTTCCATTATAGTCTCCATAAATACTTATTATCTAAAAGAGGATTTTTGTTTTTTTATTAACGATGTCATCACCTATCTTTATAATAATATTTATTTCTTTTCGAACATATTTTGTGTTCGTTATTGAGAACTGCGACAGGT